ATAATTTTTGAAAGACAAGTTTTACAATTACATACAATTAAAAAATGTCAAAAGAAAATTAAAATTTGCTAAAATCTTTTAAAAAATAATTTTTTAGTAAAATCTTTGAAAAATAATTTAAATTTGAGATAAAATCTTTTAAAAATAATTGAGTTTTTAAAAAATAATCAAAATTTTTCGAAGAATTTTAATTATAAATAATTTCTCAAAAATTCTAAAATAGTAAATTTTTAAAAATTTTAATTTACTTTGTTCGAAGGTAATTGAATCTTAAAAAATTATGATAAAACAATTCTAAGAATTAGTTTTTTATAAATATATTGTAATGTAATTTTTTGAAAATATAATTGAAGAATTTTTGTATAATTTAAAAAAAAAAATTTTTTGAAGAATTTTAATTAAAAATTTTGAATATATATTATTTTTTCCAAAATTTTAAAAATAATTCTGAAAAATTGTAATGTTTAAAATAAAAATACATAAATAAAATATAAATCTTATGTTTAAAATTAAATTAATTTTATTATTTTGTGTATGAATTTTCGGAAATATTGAAAATATTGAATATCGAAAATATTGAAAATAATTGAATTTTAAAAAATTGGAAGGAAACAATTAAGAGAATTACTTTTTTCAAAACTAATTTTATATTATTTTTAGAACTTAATTTTCATTCATTTTCATTTTTTTTTAATTTACCGTCGACCGGGGCTATTCTGATACAGGGGGGCTATTATGGAACAAGTCAGTTTTCAATTTATAAAATATTCATTTCAAATTATTTAAAATTGGTACTTGATGTAATTATTGTTCGATATATTGCTGATAAATAAAGTACAATGTTATTAGTGTATACTTTGTCTACAATATTAAAAAAAATCGTTAAAAAGAAAAAATTTTGTTAACACTAGAGGGTGATCTGTAAAAATCTGCTTGAAACATAAAATCTATGAAAGCAGAATAAAAAATATTCAAGTTAAGTGCTCACAATTTAGTTATGATGATGTGTACGAGAGGGCTAACTTTCTATTAAGTATGTTAATAAAAAAATGTCAAAAACGGAAAGTTCAGCATTTGTAGGGGCTATTAAAAATTATTATTTTACGAAAATACATTGTCTAATAAAAAAAAATATTACAATTTTGTTTCTACATATAAATGGCACATTTTCTGTATCAGAAAATAAAAAATATGTCAATTTAGGCATATAAAAAAGCAATTTTATAAATTTACAAGGTATACATAACCTCAAAAAGCTTTTCTTATGATGAAATTGTTCTAAGGAGAAGCCGTATTTTTCAATAAAAGTTTAGTTTACATATCTTTTAAAGCTTGGTTTCTCTTGTTCAACATTTTGGAAGAAGAAAAAGAAAATTGTTTTTGAAATTTATTAAGTTATTAAAATCATGGATTTTGGCTATATATCGGCTGCTGATAGCTCGTTAATGACAGACAATGAGGGTATACCACAATTGTATTCATCATCACATCCTAATAGAATTCAAGAAATAAAACAAGTTCCAGCTCTACTGAAACCAACAAGATAAAATTATTTGAAAAACATTGCAGCCCTATCTGTGAGAGAAATGAAGAGGAATAAGGAAAGAGAATTGCAATTTATGGAAATTTACAATAGTTTCTATTGGAATGACAATTTGTTGAATATAAAAAGAAACCAAGCATTAAATGATGATACTTCGATAGATATTGAATTGTATGAAAAAGTTTATGGATTATAATTAAAAAATAAGGTTCCAGTATTTTATCAATTAACAAATTTCACGAAAAATTATACAAATCTACCATTGAGATTACTGAATTTGTGTTTCAAGTGCAAACAATACGGTCATTTGCAAAGAGATTGCAAACATGAGCATCATCCTGTTCTGATCTGTTGGGATTGTGGGAGAAAGAACCACCGTACAAAAGAGTGTACAGTGAAATCTGATGACGTCAAAATTAAAAATATTAAATATGTCAATTTTGAAAGTGAAATAGAAAGTATGTTGAAAAGAGAATTTCCACAAAATGAACAAGAAGAGGAGGAAGAAGAAGAGGAGTTTAAAGATAACAATTATAAACCGCAACTCGACACATACAATCAAATTACAGAAAAGAAGGAGGTTTTGTATTGTCACAATAATGAAATTTATACTTCGCGAAGTTTACAAAAATTGAAAAAAAGAAAAGAGGCTGCATACTATATAGTCAAAAATTGATTGAAAATTTCTCTCAAATTACGGACATTCACTCAAATGGGAAATTCGATAAAAAGATGTTGGATAATAGAAATGGAAAGTGTTTTACTAGTGATCAAATAGGACATTTTAGAGCAAAATGCCCTAAAAAGCAAAATGGGAAAAATTGCTACGTTTGTGGTGAAATTGGAGTAACGCGAAAAACTTTCAAAAATCCACATTAATTGGAACGAAATGATGGCGAATTATCTCTAAAGTAAACTTTTAAACATTTTACGTAATTTCCTATGTGTTTATTTCAAATTGTTTTAAAACAATAAATAAATTTTTATACATAACCTCAAAAAGTGATATCTACTTATATTTGAATGGATTTCAAGTAAATTTAAAAACTTTTCATGAAAGTTGCTGGAAAAACTATTATTGATTTTATAACGTTATTAACATAACTTAAAATATGTTAAATTTTTTTTAAATGGTTCGAAATTACACATGGAAAAGTGCACTGCGTAAAATTGCGTACATGAAGGAAAAACCATGGAGTAGTATAAGGAGACCGAACACCCGTGATGAATCCGCGTCAAACGTGGCCGCATTTTTCATAACAGTGATTCCTCTAGGCACACTTACATCGATAGAAGAGCCTCTCGCGGAGGAGAAGATCATTATATTTAAAAACAAAATAAGACACGACATAACCTCTAATTTTGTTTATAAAAGGTATAAAAGTGATTGTTAGTTCAATGAAGCATGTAAAAAATAAATTGTGAGTGAAAATGCCTGCTGCTGTCTGTGTAGTGAAAAATTGCAATTCTTCTCTCTTAATTATAGAGGGAATTTTAGTAACAATTAAGTTATGTATATAAACAATATTAATCGCAACAATTCTCACATATACTTACTTATTTATCTCTTTTCACTTCCAACCGAGCACTTTCAAAATTAATATTGAATAAATAATAATATATTATAACTATAAGATAATTATTAATGATAATTGTCAACTATTTCCAAACAACACTAACCTATAAAAATACCAACTGCACTGTACAATAACAATTAGCAGACGATTATTAGTGACATTTTTCCCCGTTGGGGGCGCTTCTATCGATGTAAGTGAGCCCAGAGGAAACACGGTAATGAAAAGTGCGGCAACTTTGCGTGAGTGGCGTTCGGTCTCCTTATACTACTCCATGGGAAAAACCTTCTGAAGTCTGTGCTTGTATTAAATTGGTAAAGGAATCAATTGATCCACGTAGTGCAAAAGGAGGAGGATATTTTTTATTATTTGTTTGATATAAAAAAACGTTTAAAAGTAAACACTACATTTAAAAATGAAATTAATTTTGGCGAAATTTTTGAATTCTACGTTCTATATTATAGTAAAATTTTTCATAATAATTATTATCTTTCAGCGTTTCAATAAAGAATTGTTATCTAGAATATGTAATTACAAGTTTTTTAATTTTTATCAAAAATAAACGAAATTTTAGTTTATTTTTTTAACAAAAACAAAGTTTGTTCCATAATAGCCCCAACCGAGGGGCTGTTATGATACAAACTTTAAGTTTTCATAATTCAGATAAAAAAAAATTTTCTACATCGACACTTACAGAAAATTTTCAGAGAGATGTCCACAACATAATCAAATAGTTTTAAAAAAATTTGCATATAATCTAGAATTTCGGTAAAGTAAAGAATAAAAAAATGACTATTTTTGTACCATAATAGCCCCGGTTGACGGTACACTTGAAGATTATTCATTAAAATTTTCGAGAATTCAATTATTTCCGAAATTTTCAATTAAAATTCTTTAAAAGTTATTTTTCAAAAATTGTAATAAAATACCTGAAAAAATGATTTATTTTCAATTTAATTTTACAAGAAATTTCAATTATTCAAAATCTTTTTAATTGTATATTTCAAAATTTTAATTAGAAAAAATATTTAAAAGCAATTTTCAAAAATTTGTCTATAGTTATGCTTTTTACACTATAAAAGACAAAATAAGTTGCATTTTATACTAAAAATATGGTATTTTGTCGCAAAATTTGAAGAAAAAATCCTAATATCCTAGGTCTGATAGTAGATTTGTTATAGACCTTTCTGAAAAATACATTAAAACCATATTGTCTCGTCGAAAATTAACAAAGAGTTCCATCCAATAATATATTTAACAATTTTTTTAATTTAACCTTTCATAAATTTGTTAAGGGAACTTTCTGGTCCAGGATCGCAAAAAACATTTTTTAAGAAATACGCAAAAAAAAAAGAAATCAATTCAATTATTTACAAATTTCTTATAAATTTCATCGCAATAATTCAATTATTTTCATAAATAATAAAACACTTTTTAAAAATTGAATTATTTTCTTAAATAATAAAACTCATTGCAGAATTTCAATTATTTTTAATACAATTTTCATTAAATTCCTCGAAAAATGCGAATAAGTATTCATAACATTTTTTTATTAAAATTCGTCGAAAGAATTCAATTATTTAAAAAATTGGTGATAAAATTCATTATTAGAATTCAATTATTCAATAAATAATTTACTTTTGTATTTAAATAATTAAATTCTCGTAGAAATTTCTAATTAAAATTGATTTAAAAATGAATTACAGTTAAAATTTTAGATGATACTTGAAATATTAATTATTCAATATATTATTTAGGTACTTTTGTATTTAAATTGAATTCTAGTAGAATTTTCTACAAAAAAATTGATTTAAAAATTAATTTCAGTTACAATTTTAGATTAGGTATAATTGAATATTAAAAGCAATTTAGCGTGCATTTTTAGAAATAATTGAATTTTGAAATTAATTTTTTTTGAAAAAGTTTAATTGAATTTTTTTTATATTATTTCTAGTTAAGAGTTTTAGGTAAAATATTCTCTTATTTGACTCGGACTGGTTATATTTTTCTCAGTAATTGTTCCGTAAAGTTCGTATTCTTAAATACTTTCACTGGTTCGATCCCATATGTAAAAATACCGAAAAGAAATTTTTGCAATAAATAAAATACATTTTTTACAAAAAGAGTTTTAAAAAAAGTGTCTTTTTATAATTTTGCACCAGAAAGTCCCCTTAAATAAGATAAATAAAAGTTTTCAAAATTAATTAATAATTAAATTCAATACCTTAAATTTCAATTTCTAAAGAGAAATTGAATTAGGGTTAAAAATACTGTATTTCTGGATTTCTAAAAATCAACAAAAACAAATATATATTTTTCAACTACTATAGTGAACATAGTTTTTTTCAAAAAAATAACAATATTTTAACTGCTTATTTGAAACTAAACGACTAGTAAAACTTGACTAATGTTATAAGTAACAATCACAAATAATTCTTACATATAAAACAATAATAAAATTATTTATTAACATTAAATAATTATTAAAATTGTGAAAAAAGTTTAACTCCTGTTTTTGGTATTCATTGAACTATAGTTACCGAAAAATTATAATTTCATTATGAATTTTAGTAACTCCTGACATGATCAATTGTGGTCCATAAAATTTATTAGTGCAAGTTTCTCACTGAAAGATTTATAAAAATTTAATTTGAGAGTTTGCGTTGCTCTTTAAGGCAATGTTCATGAAACACTCATGAAAACTTTTTTGTGAAATGAATACATTTTTGAGATGAATGAATTCAACTAAATATTTAATACAGACCCATTTTGTGAATTTGAAGATTTTTTCCTGTCAACTTCTTCTAGAGTGTTGTTGCCAGCACAACTAAGTTGAGCAGTGGAAGCAGTAGTTTCGTCTTCAGATTCAACGGGACTAATCCGTATTGCCTGATACCACTGATTAGTCAGGTCAGTCATTTGCGACTTGCAGTCCTTTAATTCTTGTTGCGTAAAACGTCTTGTGAAGAAGGGAATGAAGAATTTATAATCCCAACGGGCGAAACCTCGCATTCTCGATTGTGTGAAGGAAACTTCTATTTCTTCCTCCGTAAATTCCGATAGATGTTCGGAATCAATCGCTTGGCCCTGTTAAATAAAAATCATGTATGAGACCATTTTTTCAAGAGGATCACCCGTTTTCTCCATTTCAAGTTTGATTCAAAAACATTTAAAAATAGCTGAAATTAAATATGGAGAATTACATAAATGATCAAATCACTGTTTCCAATTTTATTTCTTGGTCATAAATGGAAAAAAACAAATTTTTTAAATTCTAAGAGGCCTATTAAATCAAATAAAAACTTGTGACGTAAAATATAGTAATAATTTTACAGCTCACAAGTTGTATATTCCCTTCAAAAACTTATTTAATTGCTTAAATTTTCAAAATTATCTTTCAATCTAAAAAAATTAGCTATAGAGAAATTAAACTTGCCAACCAAAGAAACTCGTTTTAGAAACTTCACAAAACTGAAAAAAATTCCATTCTATATTTTATTTTCCTGACTTTTTCCTAATTTTCATAAAAAATAATTACTTCTTTCATATCCTGCTAATAAATTGAATTCCTGTAACGAATTTTAATATTCATGAAAGAATTTAAATATTTATAAAAATAATAATTTAATTCTTGCAAAGAATTTATATAAAAATTTTTAAATAAATGATTTTTTTCAACTAATTTTATTCAAGTTCTAATTTAAATAATTGAATTCCTGAGAAATTTTTATTATTCATTAAAAGAATTGAATTCTTACGAAGATTTTTATAAAAAATTTATAAATAATTGAATTCTGTTTGGAAAATTCATGAGAATAGTAGATATTGAAAATCATTGAATTGCGAAAAGTTTTTAAAAATAATTTTTACAAAGAATTTTTTTGAGAATAATAAATTAAATGCCTGCGTAGAATTTTATTGAATTTTTTTGAAAATAATTAAATTTCTAAAAAGCATTTTATTATTTATGAAAATAATTGAATTTTGCAAAAAATTTTATTAAAATTTATTGACATAATTGAATTTTTTTCAATAATTTTTTATGTAAATATTTGAATTCTGGGGAAGAATTTTATTAAAATCTAAAAAAATAATTGAATTATTTTAAAAAAATATAATTAAAATTGTATTTAAAATAATTGGTTTCTTTCGAACAATTTTTTTTTAAAATATTTAAAAATAATTAAATTCCTATGAAAAATTCTAATATTTTTGTAAATAATTGAATTCTTCAAAAGAATTTTAAAAAAACACTTTTTAAATAATTGGTTTTTTCGAGGAATTGAAATTAAATTTTTAAGAATAATTACATTTTTTTTAGCAATTCCTGTAAAATTGCATTAAAAATAATTGAAATCCTGCGATGAATTTTATTATTTATGAAAATAATTGAATTATTGCGAAAAATTTTATTAAAATGTTTAAAAATAATTAAATTTCTATGAAAAAATTTTGAAAATAACTGAATTCTTTATAAGAATTTTATAAATATTGTTTTAAATAATCAATTTTTTCGAATTATAATAAATATTATGAAAATTTTATTTTAAATAATTGAGTTTTGTGGGAAACTTTATTTCTGAAATTAATTGAATTTTTCGATAAATTAATTTAAAATGGTATTTAAAATAATTGAATTTCTTCGATAAGTTTTATTATTTATGAAAATATTTGAATTATTATAAGATGGTAAATGGGTTTTTTCCGTGATAATAATTATTATAAGATGGTAAGGTGTCAATAAAAAATATTGTGTATTATTATTATTATTATTATTATTATTATTATTATTATTATTATTATTATTTGTGTCAATAAAATATATTTTCAAATATTAATGAAGTATTAATTTTGAAATATTGATTTCTGTCTTATCGATGATAAGCGAAAATAAATATATATCCGCTAAATTGACACCTTACCATCTTATAATAATATTTGAATTATTGTTTAGAATTTTATAAAAAATTTGTTTAAAAAATTAAATTTCCATGAAAAATGTTACATTGAATTATTGTGAAGAATTGTATAAAAATTTTGTTATATAATTGATTTTTTCGAAATTTTTTTGAAAATGGTTTTTAAAATTAATTGAATTCTTGTGGAAATTTTATTATTTATGTAAATAAATGATTTTTGGTTGAATTTTATCAATTTTTTTAGCTTTTGTTCATTTGAAATTTCCTGACTTTTCCAGGATTTCCAGGTTAAGAAACGGAATTTTTCCAGGTTTTTAAATCTACATTTATTTTTTACCAAATTCAATAACTATTATAAATTTTTAGAAATACATAGAACTTCATATAATACTATATTCCGCATTATTATATTTATCTATTATTCAATCAGGGTTACCACAAAAATTTTATTTTCATTGACTTTTTCCTGATTGCAAGAAAATTTTTTTATTTTTTCTCTAAAGAATAGGTTCTGATTCACTCTCAAAATGATTAGGTACTCAAAAAAAATGTTGTATTACATTTAATTACGAATTTATTTAATTGTCAAATTATTCGAAAACATTTTTAAATAAATATTTAATCATTATTATTTTTCCATGGAAATTAGGATTTTCAAAAATTTTAAATTCAAACCTTTTAAAATTCAATAATTCACAAGAATATATTATTATAAAACATGAAGATATCGATCACTTCGAACCTACAACTCGGAGTGATCCATATCTTCAATGTTTTATAATAATTAAATATATGACTGAATGATAAATTAATTAATTTATAATTTATATTATAAGAATATTGTTAGTGTAACTTCTTCAAAATTATTTTCATAATTTCATTTTTTTAAAATCATTTTTACTATTATTTTGTGTTATCTATAATTTTTTGGATCAAATTCAAAATGAAGAAACCGAGTGTCTCACTTGAAAAAGAATGTCTCACATACATAATTTTTTTCTATTTTAATCATTTCTTGAATAATTGCGAAAAAAGAATTTTTAAATAATGAAATTTCTTACCCATTCTCTAGTCTTACTGAGGGAAATCTCTTTCTCTCGTCGCCTTCTCCTACTACTTTTTTGCTTCTTCTCAGCTCGAAGGAATTTTAATAAAGGCATAGTGGATCCGCCAAAGATTAAAGTGGTAAACAAAACTATAATGAGCGTTGTTGTTATAATGACATGCCTCGTTTCATCGCTGAAGTTCAAGTGAAGAGATAAAGCATACGATATAGCACCGCGAAGACCGCTGAACCACATTATAAACATCATTTTCTTGGTGATTTTGTGTTCTCGAAATTTATTAACAAGCAGAGCCAATGGGAAAATATTTGCAGCCCGGCCAATTAAACACAAAATTAGAGACCAAACGACTAAAGCTGGTTCAGCCTGTTTTTTAAAAAAAGGTTTTAAGATCAAATTTTCTCCAAAACACAAATGCCTGTAATTTTTAAAATTAGAAGTACACGGAAAAATTGTCGGGTGAGCAGCGTTACTACAGAGAGTAGAGTGCTCGCTCGAAAATTTTTCCGTGTAATTTTAAGTAACAGTAAATTTAACATTACCGTCAACAGGAGTAATTATGGAACATCAGAGGAAAAAAAATAACGCGCCATTCTTTTTAATGTAAAATCTTTGTTATTCAGCCACAAAAATTTAATTTTCTTTTTCCCTGACTTCCAGACAAAATTTTGACTTTTTCCCTGACCCTGAAGAATCTTTTGATTCACTCCAAAAATTATTAGATACTCAAAAAAAATTTTTCTATTACATTTATTTACGAACTTCTTTAATTGTAAAATTAATCGAAAACATCAATATCTTCTTTTTTAAATAAATATTTAACCATTATTATTTTTCTATATGAATCCAGATTTTCAAATTTGAACCTTCTGAAATTCAATAACTTATCAGAATATTATTATAAAACAAGAAGAAATTTAAGATGTCAGAATGATTAAATGATTATTTTATATCATACGAATATTGCAACTATAAATTCAAATTTTCAAAGATTTGAATTCGAAACCTTTTCAAAATTCAATTATTTCTAAAAATTCAAGCTCTAATGTTTTTAATAATCAATTATACTTTAAAATCATAACTAAAATTGGTATCATTTTTTAATAACTTTTTATTAGAAAATTTTTCAAGAATTCAATTATTCAACTACAAAAATAAATAATTGAATATTTTTTAAAATTGAATTTTTATGAAGAATTTTATTAAAATTTTTAAAAATAATAGAATTCTTTCATCGAATTTAAAAAAAAAATTAAGAATAAATACAATTTTCTATCACTTTATTTAAAATTGTCTTGAAAAATAATTGAAATTCTGCGATAAGTTTTGTTATTTATGAAAATAATTTAATTCTTGTATCGAATTCTATTAAAAATTTGGTTAAAGAATTGAATTCCTGTGAAGAATTTTATTTGTAAACATAATTGAATTCCAGAGAAAAATATTATTATTTTTGAAAAAAATTAATTTCTTGTAAAGAATTTTGTTCAAATTCTTTTAAATAATAAAATTTTTCTGAATTTTATAAAAAATTTTGAAACTAATTAAATTCCATCAAGAGATTTCATTAAAAAATTGAAAAGAATTGAAATCTGACGAAGAATTTTATTAAACTTTTTTTTAAATAATTGAATTCCTGTGAAAAATGTTATGTTTGAAAAGAATTGAATTCTTGGAAAGAATTTTATTAAAATTTCCTAAATAATTGAATTGCTTAGAAAATTTTTACAAACATTTTTGACAATAATTGTATTCCAAGGAAGAATGTTATACTTTACGAAAATAATTGTATTCTGTGATCAATTATTTTATTATAATTTTTCAAATTTATAAACCATTTTATCAAAAATTTTTTAAATAATTGAAGAGTCGAGAAAAATTTTATTATTTATAAAAATAATATTGATTTCTTGCGAAGAATTTTATTTAAAAATATTTTAAAATAATTGAATTCCCATGAAAAAATGTATTATTTGAAAAAATAATTGAATTGTATAGTAAAATTTTATTAAAATTGCAATATTATTAACTAAATCTTGTAAAGAATGTTGTCAAATTTTTTTAAATATTAGAATTTTAAAACAATTTTATTTAAATTTTTCAAAATAATTGAATTTTTTAGAACTTTTTTTTCAATTCTCTGAATATATTTGAATTCTTTCGAGAAACTTCATTAAAAAATTAAAAATAATTGAACTGGTGCGCAGAAATTTATAAAAAAATGGTAAGTAATTGAATTCTGTGAAATTTTTATTTACATTTTGTTTAAATAATTGAATTCCTTTGGAAAATTTAATAAAAACACTAGATAATAAAAATAATTGAAATGAGGAAAATTTTTTTAAATAATTGAATTTAAATTTTGCCAAGAATTTTATTATTTATAAAGATAATTGAAATTATGACGAGAATTTTTTTTAATTTTTGAACATAATTGGATTTATGCGAAGAAGTTTATCACTTTTGAAAATAATTAAATTTATGTAATCAGTTGTTCTTAAAATGATAGTTCTTCAACAATTAAGTTATTTAAAAAGAAATTATTGTCAGAAATAGAAAAAATTGAAAGTTTTGTATAAGAATAATTCTTGTCAATTTCTTTGTTTATGAGGCAAACAAAAAAGACCCTAAAATTCAGAATTTTCTTATGAATTATAAAAATTTAATTTTTTTCCAGTACTTTTAATAAAAAATTCTGACTTTTCCCTAATTTTTCTGACTTCCCTGACCTGTGCACGGAGAAAAAAATCAGGGCTTTGTAGCATGGAGTGGTCTGTACCTTTAGCGCATGGGCGCTTCCTTGCGGCGAAAGAACGAACTCGTACGATTGCAGCAAGGCTCCTTACTAAAATAGGGCGAGCTCTTGCTGCAATCGTACAAATTCGTTCTTTCGCCGTAAGAAAGCGCCCATGCGCTAAAGGTACAGACCACTCCATGCTAAAAAGCCCTGATTTTTTTCTCCGTGTGGCAACCCTGTTATTAATTGTTTCAATTTGGTTCTTGTTTCAAATAATATTTTGATATTTTGTCTTCAAAGTGACTCAAACGTTTTTATTTTTATTGACACTGGAAATGAGAAGAAATTGTCAAACTTCAAAAATGTGAAAAGTTTATTTCAAAAAAGTGCAAAAATTCATGACTTTCTCCGAATTCAACAAAAGTTATTAAATTTTTAGTGAAAATAAACCTAAAAATTGCGATTTTTGTTCCAAAATTTCCCCAGTTAACAGTACTAAAAAAATGACATTCAATAAAACAAAATTTGAAATATATGAATTAAGTGCATAAAATTCTCTTCGCCGTTCAAGTTCATGACCTCTTGTATCTTAACAATCAACATGAACATTCTTTTTAAGTTACTAATTAGTAAAAGATTTCATATTTAGTCTTCTACATAATTATAAAAATTCTCTTCAATATTCTCAGAAAAACTTTGAATTTATGTTTTTGAGTAAAATTCGCGCATGAAAATACTTAATGTCTATCAAGTTTCAGCATCCTAATAGTAAGATAAATTTTTTGTCCATAAATATACCCTTTTATAAAATCTATTTATGGACATAAGAAAATATAGTTTAAAATTGGTTGAGGAGAATTTTATGCGGAGTATTAGTCCTTGCGACTCATTTGCAAAATTACTTACTCTGTGCCGAAAACTAAAGAGCGCGAGACCCAAATAAGCGAAGACGCATGTTTCAGCTATGAAAGCCAATGTTCTCATAGTTTGTTGCATAGTTATCTGCGTGACTGTCGATAAATTAAAATGAGTGTAATGCGACATAACAATTCCATTGAATAAAATTGCCATAATCCCTGTAAAAAAATTTAACTCATTATTATTTTTCCAAAACGGTTAAATGAAAGAATTTTTAAAATTTTACTGCGACTTCATAAATTGTTAGATTCAATTTTTCAGTTTTCAGAGCACAGATATCCCATAATATTTCTTTGTAGAATATTTGAATAGAATATTCAATATTTGAGTAGAACATTTCATTGACATAATTTTATTCGATAGAGTTTTCATATAGTTGAATTTTCGAATTTAATGGGACTTTATGGAGCAGAATCGATATAAAAAATACAATTTTAAAAAATCTTATTGTAAAAAATGTATTATAGTTATTTCAAAAATTCCTTTTGGATATTTTTACATAATACAAGAAGAGAATTTGAGAATTTTCAAATCCATTTGTTTACAATTAAAATTTACGAAATGTCTATTATTCGGAAATTCTTCAATTAAATATATATTAAAAAATAAAAATCTTCAAATAATTAAAAAAAATCAATTAAAATTTTTCAAAAAAGTGAATTCTGCAGAATTATCAGTTAAAAGTATAAAAAATTCAGTTTTTCCAAGATTTTAATTTGACACCTTTTCAAAATTCAAATACTTATAAAAATTCAAGCTATAATGCTTTTAATATTCAATTATTATACAAAATTTTAACTATAAGTTATTTTTAAATTAACTTTTATTAGAAAATTCATCGAGAATTCAATTATTTAACTAGAAAAATAAATAATTAATTGAATAATTGAATATTTCTTAAATTTTAATTCTTACAAAGAATTTTATTAACAAATTTTTAAATAATTGAATTCTTTTGACGAATTTTAATAAAAATTTTAAGATTAATTACATTTATCAAGGAATTCGATTAAAATTGTACTAAAAATAATTGAAATTCTGCGATGAGTTTTTTATTATTTATGAAAATGATTAAATTCCTAAAAAAAAATTTTATTATTTATAAAAATAATTTAGTAATTATTGCTAAGAAATTTATAAAAAATTTGTTAATTGAATTACTGTGAAATTTTTTAATTTTCGAAAATAATTAAATGTTTGCGTAGAATTTTATCAGGATTTTTTGTAAATAATTGAATTCTTTTGGAAAATTTTATTAAAAGTTTTGAAAATAATTGAATTTAAGACAAGAATTTAGTTATATTTATAAAGATATGTAATGATAATTGAAATTTTGACCAGAATTTTATGAACTTTTGAACATAATGAACATAATTTCATTTTTGCGAAGAATTTTATTACTTTTGCAAATAATTAAATTTCTGCAATAATTTATAACTTCTCCAAAATTAAATTTTTTTATTGTTTTTAATTAAAAATTCTTCTATAAATCTATTAATTTTAATAATTTTTGATAAAGTTCTTTGACAATTTTCAAATCTATTTGTTTACAATATTCAATTTTGCGAATTTCCATTATTCATAAATTCTTCAATTAAATATATATTAGAAAAAAAAACTTCAGATAATATAAAAAAATTAAATTAAACTTCTTCAAAAAAATTAATTTCAAAATTCAATTATTTCTAAAAATTCACGCTATATTGCTTTTAATATGCAATTATTGTCTAAAATTTTAACTGCAATTCACTTTTAAATCAATTTTTATTATAAAATTCTACAAGAATTCAATTATTTAAATACAAAAATAATAATTTTATTGAATAATTGAATGTTTCTTAAAATTCAATTCTCATAAAGAATTTGAATAAAATTGTATTAAAAATAATTGAAATTTTCAATGAGTGTTATTATTTCTAAAAATAATTAAATTCCTAAGAAGAATTTTATTATTTTTGAACAATATTTAATTTTTGCAATGAATATAATTATTACTCTTGAAAATAATTGAATTTCTGCAATAATTTCTAACTTTTACAAAATTAAATTTTGTTTTGTGTTTTTAACTAAAATTTTCCTATAAATGCATTAATTTTAATAATTTTTGAAAAAGTTCTTTGAAAATTTTTATATTCATTTGTTTACAATTCAATTTTACAAAATTTTAATTATCCGGAAATTCTTTAACTAAATATATTAGAAAATAAAAACTTCAAATAATTATAAAAAAAAATTCAATTAAACTTTGTAAGAAAAATGAATTCCTCAGAATTTTTAGTTTAAAATATGAAAAATTCAGATTTCCAAAAGATTATTTTAATATGAAATCTTTTCAAAATTCAATTATTTCTAAAAAATTCACGCTACATTGCTTTTACTATTCAATTATAATCTAAAATTTTAACTGAAATTCATTTTTAAATGGATTTTTTATCAGAAAATTCTACTATAATTCAATTATTTGAATATTAAAAACAATAATTCATTGAATAATTGAATGCTTTTGACGAATTTTAATAAAATTTTAAAGAATAATTACATTTTTCGAGAAGTTAGATTAAAATTGTATTAAAAATAATTGAAGTTTTGCAATGATTTTTATTATTTATGAAAATAATTGAATCCCTAAAAAGAATTTTATTATTTACGAAAATAATTAAATCCACCTAAAAATTTTAATGTTTATGAAAATAATTGAATTATTGCAAAGAAATTTATAAAAGCAAAGTTTGTAAATAATTGAATTCCTGTAAAATTTTTATTATTTTATGTAAATAATTAAATGTTTGCGTAGAATTTTATTAACATTTTTTTAAATAATTGAACTCTTTTGGTAATTTTTTTTAAAATGTAGTAGATATTGAAAATCATTGAATTGAGGAAAATTTTTGAAAATAATTGAATTTCGGAGAAGAATTTAATTATTTCTAAAGATAATTGAAATTTTGCCAAGAATTTTATTAAAATTTTTGAAAATAATTGAATTTTGGAGAAGAATTTAATTATTTCTTAAGATAATTGAAATTTTGACGAGAATTTTTGTAAATTTTTTAACTATAATTGAATTTTTGCAAAGAATTTTATTACTTTTGAAAATAAAGGAATTTTTGCAACCGTTTGTCCGAGGCCTGAAAAAAGTAAGTAATAAGTTAGTTCGAATTGTTGTTAGTTATTTCTTAAAGGTATAAATTCCGAACTTTTTAGACTATAAAAAAAAAGTTGACCAAGTATAAAAATTGGCGTTAATTTAAAATAAAAAATTTATAAATTCAGCTATATGAAAGTTGTATCAAATAAATTTTCCGCTTAGTAATTGTTCTGGGATATTTATGCGAACCCCATAAATAATACTCACCGGACAATTGAATTCCTTCGGAAAGTACATAAGGCGCGTAAGTAAATACCAACATAATTCCAAATTCCAAAGATGGATTCTTCCTGAGATCCACGTGCTTCAACAGCAAAGCGCTGAGAAGAGCGAATCCGACTCCAATAGCAGCCGAAGCGAAGAACATGAAAACAAATCTGTTGAATCCCAAAATGATGGCTTCACTCGTGGTGGCCGCATTGTTCGACTCCAAAATCGAAGTCGTCAGGACAATAGAGATGGCGTCGTTCAAAATAGATTCTCCAAAAACCAACATGTTTAAAACAGGATCGACGTCCAGCGCGTGGAAAATTGCGACTGTCGCCACGGGATCGACGGCCGATATCAACGACCCGAAAGCGAAGCTCTCAACAAAACTCAGTTTGTACGCAACGTCCGCGAGGCCCAACAAGTAAATTCCCGCTCCAATCACGAAAGCCGAGATCGTCGTTCCAATTATGGCGAAGACCATGATACTGCCGATGTTTTGGAAAAAATTACCCTTGTGCAAATTGTAACCCGATTCGAATATAATCGGAGGGAGCAGCACGAGGAAGAATGCCGTCGGGGAGAAAGCCTCTTCCTTCCTCCAGTTTGCGATATTCTTGTAGGACATTAAATTAATTATCATTCCAATCGCACCGCCCAAGAAGACAATCACCACTGACTCTGGCAAATACTGGAAATTCGTCTGCAGCATCAAGTGAATCAACAATATTCCTAGAGCCAATACGCAGAGGACGAAAAAAATGGACATTGAACTATTGTGCTCCTCCTCCGCAGAGCCTTTTGCGGGTAAAATCGGCTCCGCGGGCACCGCAGTTGTCGTACTCACATTTGTCGAATTCGCCACATCAATAGTTGGATTGGAATCGACAATTTGCTTCGGTGTTTCAACAGTCGAATTCTGTCCCACCACCGACGTTGCTTTACTATTTTCATTTAAACTAATTTCTTCCTTATTTACTATTGTCGAATTCCCGATAATACTTTCTTTTGATCCTGATGTGTGGTTTACATTTTGAGCAGATAAAGAATCGGTAGAATTCAAAGTATTCACATTGTTGTCGAAACTCGACGCTAAAATGCATGACGTTCCAGAAATTAATAATGTCACGAGGAATAAAAATAAGTTCTTCTTTGTTCTGAATAATCTGCTAAAAGTAAACATTTTTTCTTCTAATGTTTACATTTATTTTTTTTTAATTATAGGGAATATGTTACTTCATGTTATGTGTTGTTTGGCTGCTGTCACATTTAACACGTCACAGAAAACAGCTGATTGGCACGGTCATGGTTTTAAAATTATAGAAATTTAAAAGATTTATGTAATACGTAAGTATTTAAAAATTAAAAAGAAATGGGTTTAATTAAATATTTTCTAATTAAAGTTTAGAGTCAACATGATGTTGTTGATAATAATGATAATAATAATAAAACTTTTGGTGAGGTTAAAGCAGGTTAGAGTATAACGTCATGAACTTGCAATCAATAAGGGTGTAGTCCAGCCCCGTTGACACTTCAAGTTAGAAATGGGTCAAATTTTGAACGGCGACCACCGTGGCGCTGGCTGTACTTTCATGTGACGAGCGACTGCCATCTCCTCGTTAACTTTTCGATATATCGATTAACGAGTTATCGAAGCGCGAAACAATAAAATTTCGTTTGTAATGGTACGGTCACAGCTCGGCTGCCTGCCTGCCTGCCTGCAGGTCGTCATGGCAATACATAAGAGTAAGAGAGTCAGACAATTTAAATAATTCGTCTCCTCTCTCTTAATCTCGTGGCGGCTGCCTGCGCAGGCAGGCAGGCAGCCGAGGTGTGACCGTGCCATTAGAGAGGTTATATATATCTAGGGTATTTATCATTGCCGGGTTTGTTGCTAGTGATTAGGTTGGCATTAGTGTCGTGTGTGGCGAGCGTTGCGTCGATGCTGGCAACGGCTGTTGGCTTTGGTCAGTCGCCGAGTAATGGTTGTGACCAGGTTGGGTTTGTCCCGTTTGATAGTTGGGCCAAGAGTGGCGATACATTGGTACCTCGAAGTGTGTAACGAAGTGTAATACGGTGTGTTCTTTAATATACTTCTTTTAATAATAAATAAACTTAAACGTTAATTGTGTAGTTGATTAAGTGTTGGAGATCCCTCCCTGTAGAACATAGAGATACTCTAACACGTTAATAAACTAATTATTTTAGGATTTTCTTACGACTTTTGACAAATATTGACGAGACTAAACAAGAAAGTTTGACTATTGTAAAATATAAGGTTGAGTCCACAATAGGCACTTTTCTTAAAGCGATGCATACCCTCTACATCGATTTCCATTGTTCGAACAATAGAAATCGATGTAGATGGTATGCATCGCTTTAAGAAAAGTGCCTATTGTGGACTCAACCTAATACTTCAAGGCCTTTCTCCAATAGGATCCAAAAACTCTGCGTTTGTCTGCGAATGACTGCGTTGCGTTGATTTTAGCATGTGTTGCTATAGCAACCGACGCAGACACAGAGTTTTGGGAACTTATTGGAGAAAGGCCTTCACGGACACTTTCTGGGGCGTGCAGCACGTACGGAAGCGCCTACGCGCCACGAGGCAAAGAGAGGAAACCTGTTTCTGCTAATGTCGTTTTAGCTTGTGAAACATTGGGGATTTAAAATTGCAATGCGACACATAGTGACCATAAAGTAGGGTTGTGAGTGATGAAACGTTTCATTGAAACAATGAAACTTTCATTTGAAAGTTTCAATGTTTCATAAGCGAAAGTTTCATTAATTTCATAAAACATTGAAGAACCAATAATTAAGCTTTATTTGCACATGCGCAGTTGTCAGTTCAGGTTAGATAATCTCTAGAAATTTTAGGTTAGCTCGAAACAATTTAATGAAAATTTTTTGTTTACATCCGAAAACACGAGAGTAGTTATGTTAATATTAACTAAAAATTACCTAAAATATTACCTCTAACGAGTGACTTAAAATTAAATTATTAATATATTTTTTAATTATTTATTTTATTTATAAAAATTAAAGAAAGATATTAAAGTAAATAATAATACTTCATGTTTTTGTCGATAATAATATGCGTTAATTATTATACTTTCTTGCATTGAATTTGAAATTTCCCGCTTAAAACTTGAAACTTTGAAATGTTTCATGAAGCATTGAAACTTTCATGAAACATTTCATTTTCCAAAGTTTCATGAAACTTTACAACCCTACCATAAAGTGAACTAAAAAAAATGGCTGCTGTGGGTGTACAAGGTTGAAAAAAATGTTAATATTTAAAGTATTCTAATGTTTAAGAAATATTTGTTAAGATTGTTGTTCATTATTTATCTTTTTATTGAAAAACTACTTAAAATTAAAACCGAAAAGTCACAATTTAAGTTTATATTTTTTTAAATTTGTACACCCATTTCGTCCATTTTTGGTGTAAAACACTAGCGACACCGAGCCAGCGGTGGTAATTTTCATTGCCAATAGGAACACGTTCGATGGTTCGCTGGTTCGGTGATGTGATTGTTGCTAAATAAAAAATTTAAAATAAGAAATAAAAATGAACCAAATTAATTTAAATTGACAATTTTAATGTAATAAAATATTTTTTAGGTATTATTTATAACAGATATTAATTAGGAGGTAAATTAGGTGCTTTAAAAAAAATCATATATTTTGAGGTTATAAAATGTGTTATGAAAAAGTAATGGAAAAAGGTCAACATTAGGCCTTAAATGTGATAACATTTTATAACCTCAAAATATATGATTTTTTTTAAAGCACCTAATTTACCTCGTAATTAATATCTGTTATAAATAATACCTAAAAAATATTTTATTACATTAAAATTGTCAATTTAAATTAATTTGGTTCATTTTTATTTCTTATTTAAAATTTTTTATTTAGTGGCAACAATCACATCATCGAACCACCGAACCAGCGAACCATCGAACGTGTTCCTATTAGGTTTGTTCTCGCTAGCTACACCGCTACACTCGAGTGTAACAAGAGTGTAAAACGGAGCATGCGCACTTAAATAAAGTACAAAATCTAGCGAGAACGCAAAAGTGTAGAGAAAGTGCACGAAAAAATGAAAAAAAAATTAACGCTATCTTAATTGTAAACTGCATACAATCTGTAATATAGTTAGGTTTTATAAATAAATATATGGGTCATTTTATTTAAAACAAACCACCTTATAAACAATTGCCATTGTGAAGCAATTTTTTAAATAATTATTTCTCACATTTGTTAAAGCCAAAATTTATTTACTATTAGTGATTTTAAGAGAAAAATTTATCAGTTTTATGATGTTAAATTTTTTTTTCAAATAATGGGATTTATTCCTATTATTCCCTGTAAACTTTGTAATGGGAAATTCATGGAAATTTGAGATATTAATTAAATTTTACAAGAATTTCGAAGGTTAAATGTATGTACCGATCAGAATTTAATTTTTTCAAATTTTTACACAGTTTAAACTCTGACATCTTTGTAAAATTTAATTAATTTCTTAATTTCAACCGATTTGAGAATAAAACTAGAATTTTTAAGCTTCATTTTCACATAAGTTTCAAGAAAAACGGAAGCGACATGTTTTGAAATATTCTAAAGGTTATCTTTCAAACTTAATTTTTTTCATAAATTCTATTATTTTTAAAAAAATATGTTTACCATCATAAAATTAAGAAATTTTTTTTTAAATTCTATGTAAATAAAGTTTGGTTTTAATAAATGGGAAAATAAGTATTTAAAAATTGCTTTACAATGTTAATTGTTTATAATGTGGTACTTTATATAAATATTAACAAAATAAGAATTGCTTACTAATAATTTTACAAATTAAAAGTCACTAAGAAACATATTATAATTTTATGTTCATAAAATAATTAATGCATTTTAAATAAAATGTCCATTTACCGCCATTTGAATCAGAACACTCAGGCTGGAGTCCCATGATAGCGTTTTGCGTTGCGTTTTGTAACTGGGCAATGAGTGTGAGAGAGATACAGATATATGTTTGCTCTATTTGCACTCATGGCCTAGTTACAAAACGCAACGCAAAACGATGCCATGGGACTTGACCCCAAGAAGACTATATACAGGAGAACCAACTCGCCTGCTTGTTCATAGAGAGCAGTGGTCCCGTTTTTAACGGACGACTGGGCGTACTACCCCGAGGCGCACTAGTCTTCTGCACATCGCAACACATGCATAACTGTATAAACTCTATCTGTGTATCTTTAAATAATGTGTGTTTGTTTTGTTTACAATTTTCTTAGTTATGTGCAAGTTCTGTGACAGTTGATTTTGAAAACACTAAATGAAATGCCATAAAAGAGTTTGTATCTTCTGAAATATTTTTGCTTGATTTCATCTTTATTAGTTTTTATAATTTATAAATCTCTTTTAAAATCTTTGAAATATCGTAGAGCGTTAAATCCGAAAACTTAGTTCAGTTGGAAAAATTCCTCTTTGGAGGTTATGGTTAACCTCAAATACAATGCTATAACAGAAATAAATATAATTGCAGCAATAATAAATATATAATAAATTATATATTACAATAGGATAGATAATAATTTATAATATAACATGCCCTTTTTTTTATTGTAAGATAAAAAATGGTTATGAAAATCCCATTACAACTTTTATTATTTAAATTAACACTCTTCATCAATACGAATCATAATTAAAAACACTAGTGTTAAATACACTTCTCACTTATATTAGAAATTTCTGTATTAAAAATATTAAGTTCACTTAATATTTACACTTATTATTCAATATGAGGGGATAATAAAAACTTGCAGCTGTTACAGCTGTCAGATGGAATATATATAAAATATACACAGTTATGCATGTGTTGCGATGTGCAGAAGACTAGTGCGCCTCGGGGTAGTACACCCAATCGTCCGTTAAAATCGGGACCATCGGAAATACTCGAGTTGTTCCTCCTGTATATAGTCTTCTTGCTTGACCCTCAATTACACTCGCTCGCAATCGGGTGTAATAAAATAGGGAAAAGTGCACGGGCTTCTAGGCGTCACTTCTGGTAACGAGAACGCCGTAGTGTACACTTTTGTACAAAGTGTAGAAAGTGTAGCTAGCGAGAACAAACCTTATGTTTCACAAGCTAAAATGACATTAGCAGAAACAGGTTTCCTCTCTTTGCCTCGTGGCGCGTAGGCGCTTCCGTAAGCACGCCCCAAAGCGCGTGTAAAGGCCAACGCAGAATAGATCTGTAACCGGAACCGCAATCGTAAGCGTAACCGTAAGAATGAGTTAAAGAAGGATAGGTATATTGTTTATCCTTCTCTAACTCATTCTTACGCTTACGGTTACGATTGCGGTTCCGGTTACAGATCTATTCTGCGTTGGCCTTAGTAATACGCTTCAGGTTGAGTCCACAATAAAATAAATCGTCTCGATTTCGATGCGCAGTAATCAAAAATGTATGTACGCGCATCGAATCGTCTTGAAAGTCGAGACGATTTTTAGCCATTCTGGAATCAGCCTAAAATACAGCTCGCCTCGACTCAGGAGTCCGCTGCACGCCCCAGAAAAGTGTCTAGCAGAACACAGGGTTGAGTCGCGCAACATGAATCGAAAATGTGCTGCAACGCGCCCTCTTTTTTCTCAGTGTAGTAGTACATTTATTTCGGGCAATAATTCATTTCAGTTATTTTTAATAAAATGTCCCATGGCAGCGTTTCGCGTTGCGTTTTGTAACTAGGCCATGAGTGTATTTACACTCATAGCGAACATATATCTGCCTCTCTCTCACACTCATGGCCTGCAAAGGTGTAACCACCCCTTAGGCTGGAGTCCCATGGGACCGTTTCGCGTTGCGTTTTGTAACTAGGCCATGAGTGCAAATAGAGTAAACATATATTTGTATCTCTCTCACACTCATTGCCTAGTTACAAAACGCAACGCAAAACGCTGCCATGGGACTGCGGCCTTAAGCTTCTATGCCTTGTTTCCGTATCCGAACTCATCCTTAACTCTTACTGCAGAAGTTCCTTAACATCACCTTAAGTTAGACTTTCGGCGGCTTTTACAAACTTCTATTAATGTCAATTGACACAAATGATTATTTAACTTATTTAAGCCCATTAAATATCTAAATAAATTGTAAATAAAAATAATAAACATAATGAAGTGTATTTTAATAACAAAAATTGAATTTTCTTATGTTAGTGAATGTATTTAATGAACGAAATTAATCAGCGCCTCCGTGGCCGCCGGTTAACATTTAACAATCTGCAAGTTGAGACTTGAACTAAAGTTTGACTGAGATAAATAGTAAATTCCGAACAGTAGAATTAATTTAAAATAATGCGTTTGAATTTTACGTTATTAAATTGTACAATTTTGAAATAATTTGTTTTCACTGAATCATTGATTACTATAATAAAAAACATAGCTATTATAAAGTTGATAAATTTTTTGACAGCTGTTGAAAAGTTAGGTTATGAATGAGAAACATAAATGTGTGTATGTGAATCGTAAGAATTGTATCAGCGCCCCCTTTTTCCTGTAACTACACGTTGAATGATACTGTCATGAAACTGTAATGCTAATACCTTCTAAAATAACATTTTCGTGGACGTCCCACGACCAAGAATAGCTAAAAGAGTGAAGAGTGAAAAAGAGATTTTTCTTTAATCGAGAAAAAGAAGAGAGATTTTCCAACTCGTGTATATGGGGCCAGAACCGTTTGTTAAGCGAGGGAAATCGCACCCAGTGGAAGTGAAGTGAGGTGGTTTTTTTCTCGCCAAAGTGGAGGAATAACGAAAAGTTTCGCAAAGTGGTTTACAAAGTGAGTTCGTCGCCGCGACAACATGTCTCTCGAAACCAGGTCGAGCTCTGCGCTCTTCAAGCGGGCGGAACAGCTCAAGCGATGGGAACAATCGGACACAAATCGCGAGCCGGCTCAGCCACGACAGATCGCGAGGAAAATCAAGTTTTCCGCGGACTGCGTGTTTTTGGCGGCGTGTGCCGCGGGCGATAAGGAGGAGGTGATACGCCTTTTGCAAAAGGGGGCTGACATCAACACGGGCAACGTCGACGGCCTCACTTCGTTGCACCAGGTAAGCAGCATATTTATCTCGATCACCTCCCCAGATATCTACACTCTGGCAAAATGGCTGCACTTCTTCCCTCCAGCTGTCTAATTTCGGCTCGCTTTCCCTGGATTAGCTTGCACTCTCTAATCACCAATTCGGTTTTCTTACTCATCGACTTGATTACATTATCAAAAGTCAACGCACCCCACTTTTTTCTCGCCTCACCCGCACTAAATCCGACAATGCTCTAAAACTGTTTACATTCATTTTCAATTCATTTAAACTCAACATTTTATTTAAAGAGAAGTAACTTGTTTATTAAAACCTTAAAACTTGCAAGGCACAAAGTTGCAAATTGTCACGGAATCTTTCCCACCAACTATTAACTCTTTTCCAGACAACTTCAACGTTTTACTTGTTTTATTATGTAAAGAAATCATTCCCTCAACTTTTTTTTTATTCACAATTACCAGTTTTACTTTATTTCAAGCATCACAGTTGGTCCTCTTTTGTCCCCCTTTTTTTTTTAATTTTATCACCTTTTTCACCTTTTTTGATAATTTTCACCTTTTTCCCTTTTTTGGTAGTTTGTCCCCTTTTTCACCTTTTTCTAATAAAAAAAAAAGTTTTTCTTTTTTTTTTTAATATAATATTTCTTAGTGGTAATCATAAAATTTAGACTTAAGGTTAGAATTCAGTGCTTTTTTCATTTAGATTATTAACACCACAACATAATATAAATATATTTTTTACCTTTTGTGATTTAAATAATAAAACGTAAAAAATTTGGTAAATTTTGAGTTGGTTCATTCAACACAATGTAGACCTCTAGGAAAATAATTAATTAACATTTAAATAATTAAAATATTATTATTAGTTTTTTACAGGAAAAAAATACAAATTTTCTCGCAAAAAATTGACAATGAAAATATTTATTTATTTTTATACAACATACACTAGAAAATTTTATTAATAATAAAATTAAAAAATTTTAAATGTAAATTGATTCTGAAATTATTTAAATTTTTTAATTTATATATATTTAATTATCTTTATAACTATGTAATAAAATTCTTCTCCGAAATTGAATTACATATACTTACATATTTTGAAAAATTATAATAAAGTGGCAAATGTTTGTTAAACTTTTGAATAATTTCATAATTAAAATTTAAAAAATTCACTTATGAAGTACATTAATAATTATTATTGTTTATATTTTCAAAAATTGTAATTTAGTTCTTCGCGAGAATTCAATTATTTTATAAAATTTTAATAAATCCTTTAATATTCTATCAATAATTTTAATAAACTTTTAATAGCAAAATTATTAATTACATTTATTAACAAAATCGATTATATTCAATAAATTAAAGAAATTTTTTGAAAGAATTCATTATTGTCATCTTGTCAAAAACTTTAATAGTATCTACTCTTTAAACGAATTTAATTATTTTTTATATTTTAATAAAATTCTTTGAATGAATTAAAATATTTTAGAAAATTTATTGTTAGAAAATTCTGAGAAGAATTTAATTATTTTTCTATAAATTGGAATAAAACTCAATAATTAAATGTTTAATTTCAATTGTTAATGACCACAATTTACACGAGGATTCAATTATTTGCATAAATAATAAAATTATTCGAAGGAATTTAATTATTCTCAAATTTTTTCATAAAATTCTTTGCAAGAATTCAATGATATTCAATACCTATTAATTTTAAAATCGAAAATATTTAAAAAGAAAAATAAATTAAAAAGTTAGGAAACAAAAAAGCAAGCAACAACTAACTTCAAACTGAGAACAGATTACCGGAATACAACGATTACTAATATAGAATTTCAAGATAAAATTACAATTATTTTCAAAAATTTTCCTTAATTCAATGATTTTCAATATCTAATATTTTTATAAAATTTCCCAAAAGAATTCAATTATTTAAAAAAAATTCTGATAAAATTTTACGAAACATTTAATTATTTACAAATTTTTTTTTATAAATTTATTCGCAATAATTCCATTACTTTTATAAGTAATAAAATTCTTTTTAGGAATTCAATTACTTTAATAATAATAATAATACTCATCGTAGAATTTCAATTATTTTTAATATAAGTAATTTAAATCGAGATCCTCGAAAAATATGTGATTATTTTTAAAAATTTTATTAAAATTCATCGAAAGAATTAAATTTTTTAAAAATTTGTTAATAAAATTCTTTATGAAAAATCAATTTTAAGACACATTCAATGATTCAATAAATTATTTATTTTCTGTATTTAAATAATTGAATTTTCTTAGAATTTTCTATTAGAATATTGAATTAAAAGTGAATTTCAGTTAAAATTTTACATAATATAGTTGATTATTAAAAGTATTATAGCATGAATTTTTCATACTTTTAATTAACAATTCTTTACAGAATTAACTTTTTTGAAAAAGTAAAATTAATTTTACTAATATTTTTTATTAATATCAAATTAATTAAAATTATTAATTATTTATTACTATCTAAGTTTCTTGTATTATTTTTTTTACTTTTACAGTACTTTGTACGAATGGGCATTGCCCGTATATTTTTAAATAAATAAATGATTATTCATTAAAAAATAATTTTTTAAATGAAACTAGAAATTCTCGAAAACCAAAATTATAATTTGTCTCATAATTTCTATTATTTTTCATTTCCATTTTTTTATATACGCTTTATTTCATAGTTTTAAAAAATCTATCTTAAAAATGATTTTAAAAAATTTTAATTCTTTAAAAAAATAAAAAATTTGTAAAATAGAAAAAATAATTATTTTAAAAAATTTTTCATCTTATTATAAAAGTTGCAAGAATAATTGTTCTTAAAATTTACTTGTGTAGAGTTGAACTGTCTACAATTAAACTGTATCGAATTTAAGTTTAATTTTTCTTTTAATTTCTCTGTATACAGATGAACTGTGCAGAATTAACTGTATAGTGTTGCACTGTATATTTTAGAACTGAATTGTGTACAACCGATACCACGCCAATTAACATTTTTGAACAAAAATTTTTATAATTATTATTTAAGAATAACACCTTCGTCAAATTTCAATAGAATATAAATTAGGTTGTTGAAAAAAAAAAATTTGCAAAACCCCAAATTTTTTAGAGGTCCGACAAAAAAGTTGTAAGTGAAACAAAAAGTGTAATTTTTTTGAATAAAAAAATTTTTAAAATCAATTTTCGTCCATAAATAATAAAATTTTTAGTTTATTTTGGTCGTTAGTAAGTGCAGAATGGAAAGATTTATATTTGTGGTAATAGTATCAACACCTAATATTTAATAGTTTTTAAATAATAACGTCTTTTAAAAAATTGATAAATTTAAGGTTACAAAATTACATCGTGAACCACCTACTTTTGATAATTAATATTATTAATCGAATTAAAATTTGTAAAATAATATTATGGTTAATGAACTCAGAAAATCATCGAGTCTCACATATATGAAAACTAGATTTTTTTAAAATATGGTCGCAACGACTCTCAAACGAAAGTCAGTGGACTGACCCTTATTTTCAAAAATTTTAGATTTTTAAAACTTTAATATCTCCGGTTAATATTATATGGACGAAACATGCTCAAAAGGGATTCAAAAGATGCATCTAAAAAAACTCTACAAAAGTAGAGAAAAACATTTATAGGTGCCTAACATTTTTCCAAATTTATGAGACAAAAAAACGTTTTTTTGCAAAATTAAAAATCCAAAAAATATAGTTAAACTTTATGAATTTGTTTTAAAGTACAACATTGGATACAAATCTTTAACAATTACTTTTATAAATATTACAATATAATATTACCACAAAACGGTCATCTTAATTTTACTGAAATAGCGATAAATTACTGTTATATTTTGTTAATATTACTTGCTCTGGAGGTAGAATAAAAGACCTATCATTGATTAAAATTTAACAATTTTTTAACGATAAGTAATTGTAGGGTAACTACTCCAGTTATTAGCACTGCCTTGGCTCCCTTTTATTAACAAGAAATATCAAAAAACTAGCATGTTTTGCATATTTAATTTATTGTTGGGACTTCTTGGTAGGTATTTAAATAAAAATATATCCTATTTAATTAATATTAAAGGAGAAAAAAATAGATATTTAATTTATTTGTAAAAATTTGATTCGGATAATTGATAGCTTTTTCCTCCTTTAATTTTTAACTGCCGAATGATAAATTCACTTTCTATAATTATATCCTATTTAACTTGAAGTTTGTTTACGATCAAAATAAACCAATTTTTTTACCATGATGCAAATTTTTGCCGCCGATGCTTAAGGGGGTTGACCCGTGTGATAGATTCAAAAAATCGAAATTTTTTATTTTTCTATAAATCGCATTTATAACTTATGTAGAATAAGTGGTTAGGAGGATTTTTCGATATGTGATGTCGTTAGAAAGTTATGTTGCAGTGATTCGATACGTGATATAGACCTGCATATTTATAAAAATATAATTTTGAATACAACGGTTAGTTTAATTTTGTCTTGGTATTGAAGATTGTAATACATCCCAAAACCATTTGACTTTCAAACTCGTTTTTCTCAAAACCACGTTTTTTCAACTGGTCGCCAGGATATCTCAAAAACTTCTTGACTGATCACCTTGAAATTTATAGGGAATGTTCAGCACATGTGGGGCTATGGCCTGAACTAGGATAATTAAAAAAGGTCACTTCGTTTTTTTTCTATACAACAAAACAGGTCCAAAAAAAATTTATTTTTTTTTAGAAAAAAAATTCAAAGCTAAATGTATGGTTAAAAATCCAAAGTTGCCAAGTTTTAATCGCTCTTAAAAAAAAATTTCCAAAAAACAGTTAAAAAACGGACGTCACACGGGTCAACCCCCTTAATGCGAATGACCATTAACTCCAATCACATTCGCTATATTTTTCCTGGAATCTACGTGTGAAAATACATATCTGTACCAAATTTGAGCTCTCTAGGTCAAATAGTTTAGCAGCTAGGGGGTGGGGAG